CGTGTTATCTACAGCAATGGTTATACTGAATTTAGTTTTATCCGTACTGTATCAGCAATGGATGCTCAAGATATTGATCTGAGCAGTCCAAGGTTCTTTGTGTATGCTCTTAATGGAGCTGCTACCTTTAATACTGATGGAACTATAGCCAGGATAGGACGACATCCAAGCACTCCAATAGTATCAGATGATCGCATCACACTGGGTACTGCAGCACAGTGTCCAGGTAAGGAGAGAGAGAAAATTATATGCATACATCTTATTCTTAGGTGTTTTTGATGAGTTGAATACTGGTACTGATCCAACTGATACTGCTTCAACTGGTACCAGTCCACCTGATACTGTTCCAACTGATACTGCTTCAACTGGTACCAGTCCACCTGATACTGTTCCAACTGATACTGCTTCAACTGGTCCTGGTCCAACTGATGGCAGTGCTACCATGATGCTATCAGTCTTTGTCCTGATATTCTGCACACTATTAGCTTACCTCATATAATCCTGAACTAGAGTACCTAACTACGAGTATATTATGTTTCTTGCTGATTATTATTTTTCTTAGCTGTAGTATTGTCTTATCATTTTGTCATGCTGATAATTATTACATGTAGCTTCAAACTTTAATTACATAGCATAAAGACTCTACATATAATTTTTACATTCTAAAAATTGTTGAAAATCATCTTTTACATTATGGAGATGTGCATATATGGCCTGGGATGGTTCAATTTTTGTACTTGACTCTGATGCTACCTCAATCAGCTATAATGCATCAATTTTCAAATTACAAAACAAATGAAATCATGATAGTAGACATAAAATGAATTGACATAGACACAAAAAATAGTTATAACATAAAAATAAGAGAAATGAAATGCGATTTAAAAAATAATGATCAATTTTTTATTATGCTGAAAATTTTGAGTCACGTAAATCTCTAATTATGAGTCCACAAAAGTGATGCTCATCATTTAAAAATTATTTTCTTCCTATATCTCATACTTCATACAATACTACGCCTTGTCTCACGGGTGGTACTACGCCCCCACTGTGCCCTCTGCTGATTGGTCGATTTAAACTCTGACTACTGATGGAGCTTGTAGCGTAATCAATAACGTTAGTGGGCGTGACTATATCACTGTTACCGTGATACCAGTGATCACTAGGAGGGGATGTACCTCTCTCTCGTACAGCTGGTAGCTTACTATTACTACCAATAGAATTCTTAGGATGCCCCGCCCTCTGTGGTGGGTGGAACCAGTGCTGGTCGGACGGGACCGAAGTTGCTCGCTGCATTAGATGCAATGGGGCGGGGCTAACCACACCCGCTTTATTAATATCCCTTTGAGATGAAACTGGTTGAGAATAAGGGAATGGATAGGGCGTGGCTATACTTGGGTTGCTCCTCATGCGACTTCGAGGATGAACAGGAGGACTTGGTTCTTCGTATTTATGGGCTGGCGAGAGAGGGAGGGTGGAGCTTTGCTGGTGACGAGGATCCTTCTGTGCCGGAGAAATACTTCGTCTGGTTGCTGTCGGGCGTATCTGATCATACACATTAATGGGTATGGGCGTCGACTGAGGAGGTGTGGTTTGAGGAACTGAAGTCGAAGGTGTAAAAACTGGCGGAGGTGTGAAATTAGGCGGAGTTTGTGTCGTATCACTATACAGTATCTCCTGTATAGGAGTGTTACTCACTATAACCTCGCTATGTGAACTGGAACGACGATCATTACCATGGTAACTCTCACC